CCCTTGTGTTGACATCGTCAATGTATTGGTGTCTCGGATCCCTGCTTGAGATTAGTCAATCTGCGGGCCTCAGATTGGAACTGGTCAGTATTATTCGGTTTGGCCAGCTGAGTAGTATCACGAGCCTTCACGAAAAATTTGGCTCTAAACTAGCTACAAGGAACTACGTTGTAGGTAGACCAAAATAATATTAGTAATATATACAGTAATCTTCCTCTGAAGCTCACTCCAAATGATTGCATTAGTTTGTATAGAGGCGTGGACAATATTTTTTAAAGGGAGCTTGTAGTCCTGTTGTTACGTGTGGTAAATTATCTCATTTGTTCCCGATAACATGATTCATTTTAAGTAGCAGATATCATGGTGAGTTTACAATTTATGAACAAATCAATGAAATTAAAGACGGCAGATTATGGATTTTAGCACGGAGTTCCCTCATCGCTGTGGTTAAATAGCATTTTCATTATTGATGTCAATTTATAACCGTAACTTAAATCCAAGTCCTAATCGTAATTCCTCACTAATTCATAACCCTAGTGGGAAAGAAATGGTTATATTAAGTAGACAAACCTTTTCTGAAACCGTGTTGTTCACTATTTAACACGTTGGTTTCTACGAGTGTTATTATTGTCTTTTCGATAATATCCCCCGGTATTTTAACTACGACACTGATGAGGTTGACAGATCTGTCGTTTGTTGGGAGTTGTCTTGATCCTGTTTTATTTATTGGAGTGACTGCTGCATCCTTCTAGTTTATAGGTAACTCACCTTGGCCAAGCGACGTATTTAATATAACAGCCAGCGGGACTGCAATATATTGTGCAATTATTCTCAAGATTTTAGGATGTACTTCATCTGGTCCTGCTGACTTTTCCGCGTCTAAAGTTCTAAGAGCCTTACGTTGTCTCGATCAAAGTCCACGGCAAGCAGATGGTTTGTTGACTTCTTATTAGGGTCTAGTTCTTCGTCCAGAAGAGGCTTCCGAGTAAAAACTGCCCCGAAATAGTTTATCATAGCCTCTGTTATTTCCTGACCATTCTCTATCATTTCAGATCCACCCCTTCAGTAATTAAGTTAGGAATCCAATGCTGCGTCTTTGTTCCGTAATTTATGTACGAGAATAGTTTTAGGTTACTTGATTACGGATTGCGCTAACTGCATTTGATGTTTTCGCTGACCTCAGATTGTAATTATACACCTATTTCGTACTGACCTGTAGCGTTCCATTGTACATGCTGTGACATGACTGATGGCGATGTTTCAGCATTTCTTTTGTCTTAGTAAACGTTGAATATCCCGGCCTATTTAGGGAAAGCCGTGCTTCTTACTTGAGATCTTTAATGTTCTGGAATAAAGCTAAGGAGATTGTGGTTTTAGCGATTTGCAATCAAGTTTTCCCAGTTTATATACGATGCATTAAAATCGCCTACCATAAGGCTTTCACCCCTATTACACCAGAACTTAAGTTTGCTTAGGAGGAAGTCATCTACTACACATTCTAGACTGTAGTATAACACAACTAATTCAATATCTTGCCGTTTACATTTCAGCCTGCAGTTATGAAACCCGGTGATACTTCCACTTCATAGTACGAACGGCGATGTTTGGCAGATTTCATGTGTACATAAGTTCTTCTCGGTGTACGGCGCACACTAAATTAATCTTCTTGTGTTAGTGTATTGTCTTGATATTTTCAAACCTTTTTAAGACCTGAATTACCTTCCCTAATTGTAGCAAGCAGTAGTTGTCAAAGGTATCGGTTGCTCACTATTTATAGTCTTATGCACTTAAGAAACGGCATTTATTCAAGTTTTGATAGCTGAATACCTCAAGTTCACTCTATTCATGTATGATTCATTTAGATGTGACTGATGATGCATTCTTAGTCCCATTAGTCACTCAATCTAGTACTATTGATAATACGTTATTACTCTTCAGAATATATAGATGGGATTATCAATCTTGTTATTGTAAATGGGTAGGATGTTGATGCATTCAGGCGTATTGTCTGGTACTGGTCGTAATTGTTTTCGAGATTAGGACTGAAATTTCATATATACTGTGTGTAAAGCTGCAAGGAAGTTTATAGTGTGGTTAATAATCAGTTCTAATACCGCTCAAGCGACAGTGTGAGACGTACTTCAAGTTCACAACACTTGTTTATCAGACTTTCCAAAAGTGATTCGTATGTATGGCTGGTCGCCGTTTCCCGCACCTCGACCTGATGACTGTCATCATAGCTATCCAGCCAACCTATATTGGATGCGATAATTGTTGCTGCGCAGTGATTTAATTGTGCTCTTGTTATAACTTGCAACCGCCAATTAGAGAGCAGTGACTTATCGATCGGATCAATGACACGTAAACCCGTATGAGCACTCTACAGTTCCGACTGGTCTCGCTTCCTGTCTAGCCCAACCAGTTGAGTTCAGAACACCAATCTCAGCCTCTGCAATATAAATCATTTATTTCAAACATACAGGGTTTATATACCAATCAAACAGACCACATCGTACCATGAAATAGAAAACAATTGTACAAGATTTGACCAAATGTGGCTGTGAATGTGGGAGGTTGTGACTAATAGACAGGGCATAATTCAAGAATGGTAAAACGTATAATAATGGTTCATAGGTCAAAATAAAGTTTATAATAAGAGGAATATGAATAGTTCAGTTATTTAACAATTATACGATAAAAGCATATGTTTAGTATTGGTCCATAAAAGGATCTCAAAGTTACCATTCATTATGCTTATCGGAACCTAAAGGCTCTATTGGCATGATTCACCTACAATAATTTTCCTTATTTTTGCATAGCAACCATCCGTAGAAAGAGGACTAGGAATACATAGGGAAATTTGTGTTAAAGTGTCAACAACGTACACAACTCATAGTTATATATATATATATATAGCCTGATCCAGACAGAGACACAGGTGGTCATGTTGATCGGATTTCATTCATTTAATCACAATAGCCTGTTTACACTTCCGCCCCCCACCTAGCATGTAATCTGTATGAAATCCCTCAGTTTATGAAGTTTAATGATAAAAGTACTTAACTTCCAACGTTTTGATAACAGGTTTGAACATCACTTCGCTTACTTGGTTTAAGTATTTGATTGATAGCACTGGTTCTAACTAAAAAATACCACTAAATACCGAGTATAGGAACCTGTATTTTATTAGTGAGTTTCATCAAATTGAAAACGTCCATCTTTTCACTCATGTTATGTATCATTCAGTTGATTGGTTACCCTTAGAATTTATATTTTTTTAAAAATGGCTTTTTAATTTCCATTTTAGTGGGCAGTGAATGTGTTCGCCAATACAAACGTCAATATTCCAGGTAATTTTCAGTATATCAATTTTAAAATACGTTAGTTTCTTGAATTTAACAAGAGAAGTTTAGTAAATGTAGATAGTCGGCTCATCCTTAGTTCAGAGGTTTCAACCCAGTCCTAGCTAGTTTGGTCGCAAACGCAAGATAATGTCTTTATATTGTACATAATAGGTAGAACCTGCCTCCTGACGTGGTTGGGACATGTATTACGCATGCCCAACCACCGCCTACCTCAGCGGTCAATGTTTTCTGATGTAGGAGTAAACCGAAAGAAGACTAGTGGCGGTCAATTCAAAACATGACATCAGTTCATGAAGTCACCGATTAATGGACTGAGATATGTTACTAGATGTAGACTACCTGGTTGGGATCCGTGTAATTATCGTAAACGATGGTTAGAGACTTTGAATGAGATGGCTTCAAATCGTTTAGAATGGTGCATTTGCATCCTTTCTTTGTCTTCCTCAAAATTCTGAGCTCTTAAATTCCTCATGACTTTTGTTTTGCGTTTTTATTTCACTACTTCGTATTTTCTTTTGGAATCGTATCTTCAATACCTAATCTTTTCTGTTAGTACTGGTACTGTCATTACCTCTACTATACTGGGACGTGTGTTGACAATTTCATTTCTGTGTGGTAACGGTGTATTTCAACTTGAACCGACGTGACCGATGTATATACGTATGAGGCTCTACGTTGTGACTGACTGACTGAATATATACACTTGGATCTGTATATATTGGAAGATAGTTTGGATCACAGGCTGTTGATGAAATTCATCTTCACAATCTTGTGTAATGATTTATTTCCTCAGGTAATAAGAGGGGTGAATTAAATGGAAAATTGCCTCACCATTACTCGTAAATATCTTTGTTTTTCAACCAAACTAATTGATATGATGCTTAAAACGTCTAAGTATTTATCAGACATTCCTGCCTATTGGTGTTATGGTATTGGAGTTATGCAACACGTCATAAAAATTATCGTACTGGAAACTCGAAACAGTTTTTGATCAAATATTATCGACAGATTTTACGGTGCTGGCAGTAAACTAGTAGTTTTATGGAAGTTGAATTTAAACAGTCATCTTAATTTTCTATTTTTGGTATCCCAGATTTTTTAAAGAAACAACTAAGTGGATTCTGTTTCCTTCACTTTACTGTCACTACAGTCATCTTCAAGCACCTGGGTCTTGTTGATCTCTTTATACTCCATTGAGGTTTCGGTAGCCTATATTGATGCACATTTATTCCATATACTAAATTCTGCCATATATAATCTGTGGAAAGTTTAGGAGACATTTCATAGTAATTGTAAAATAATTTAAATTGAAAATAATATAGTTTCTAAATACATTAATTACACAATAAACCGATGTAATATATTGTATGGGAAATATTTGTGTCCTGAATCGCTGTGCGGTAGCTGCTTCTTGACGTCGTGGTCGCGACTGCCTGTCCTAACGATCTAATCAACCCATATTGCCTCGAACGTTTGCTCCTTTAGATTGTACAGTGCCTGCCATCCGGGTTAGGTTTAATGCTGTAACATCAAAAGCAGAAAATTTATTGTCTGAGGTGGAACTGCTACCAACTGTACTAATGTATGATGGCGGTAAGGTATTTTCCTGAAACAATCAACATCTCTTGTAATCCTCCCGACCGTTGTTGCTACCTTGACGTGGTGGTCGGGCTTGCCTATCGTGATGAAGCAACCGAGCTATACTGGCTGGAACAACCGTTCCTCAAGGTCCTACCATGTCAGACAGGTCGGTTGAAGAGCGGTAAGACTAAAAGCAACAAACCTAAGGTCCGAAGGCGAAGTCGTACTGCTGACTGTACAGAGGTGTGACAGCAGTAAGGTGTTTCCTTCAGACAACCAGCATGACAGCGATGCTGCCTTCCCTTAAGGAGGGGTGGGGTTAGAAAAGGTCGACCCTAAAAATGCACACCTCACCTTACCTCACGGATTTCCGTCTCCGGCGGTAAGGCTCTTTGAAGAACGGAGCTAACACGTCAAAAACCTTCCACGAAAAGGCCGTGCGCGACCGGCCTCAAGCAGTTGTCCCTTGGGCACTGCGGTCACGCTCTCAGGTCGCTGAGACCGCCCCTAATCCAATTTCCTTTTCAGGTACCTCCAGAAGAACCGTTCCACGGTGTGGGCAACCGGGAATTGATAACCGCCCTCATACCTCTAACAGCACCCAAGACCACTGTATTCTTGTAATCCTACTCTCCAACAACAGAAGGGGTTAGAATGGGTTCCTTTGGGACTGTGTTCCATTCTCTCATTTCTGGAAATTGGCTTACAGATATTCTTCAGTAGCCTTCCATTCAAATCCAGCGTAGCTGAAAAATCGACACAAACCCACTAGCTCTTAGCATAGTTGAAAAGACCATATCTAACGTGAAGTGTTACAGATCAGCTGGATAGTTTCATAGGTCTCTAATGATAGTGACTGAGTTTTATACGTTACACTTACTGAGGTATTAACATGTATCCGAAAGTTAAATATAATTTCATGTTACTGGTCTCGACCTCTTCTCGTTTAACTGTATGAGAAAACTATTTCCACGTGGAACAGCAATAGAGGAATCGAATTAACTAGTACAGTGTCTAAAATACTGTCCACTCTAATCATTTGACGCCTAAATGTAGCTCGAAAACAAAAATCAGGAAGACGAATCGGGTTTCAAACCTGAACGTGAACTTATTGATCAAATATTTACTCTTTGATAAGTTATGGAAGACAAATATACGGACTGTAGTGGTGCTTCTCCACCTTATAGATCGGGAAGTTTTGTAGTATTTGTCATGAGAAGATATATGGAAATAGTGCATAAACTTTGTAATGGCTCTCTACTTGAATCCATTTGAAAAACTGTCGTCAGAGTAGGTGACATCAAGGATTTCTCACTCTCTATTTTTATTTAGCTTCAACAAAAACATTCTTTTAGGATTAACATCTTCATTTTATTTGAAGATTGATCTCTATACCACGAAAACTCATTTGATAACCTGAACCAAGAGCAGATTGTTCTGATCACTTTGCACAACAGCGAAAGCATGTTCGGTATATGTTTTCCATCCTCCAAGTGTAAACGTTACTGCAGGAGAGATTTTCATTTGATTATTCAAAGACCCTGTATTACCACACAGTATTCCACTTTGTAGTACATACTCTATGGCTATAAAACATGATCTAGACAAATGTAAGGCATGTTTAAGCTGTGGGATTTTGAACATTAGTATTAATCATTTCTAAATCTTATTTCCTTAATGTTCAATCTTGACTGATATTTTCACTATGTTAACTATTTCCGCAATTTATTATTAATATTAATATGGTTGAAGAAGTTGGACATTTTAATTTCGCTTTCGTAACTAAAATATTTGTGATAAAAACAGCATTAGTCTTTAATTCGTTTTCACGAACACAGTTATTTATCATCAAGCATCTCATGGCATATGTTGCTGAAGTTAAAGTATGTACAAATATCAGTCTTCATAAACAATGAATTTTATCAAATAAATTGTAATGTTATATAATCAAGTATTTATTTGATCATTTGAATATTTCATTCTTACTTGATTTGGATGATTAGGAAGTCCAAAGTTGACAATGATCAACCGCTCAGTACTACTACTAATCAAGGGACAAGTAGTAGTGGTGATCAAATAAATCGTGTCAGTGATGATACATCGAGTGAAATAAGCACAGATCAATCGAGAGTCAATAGCTTAGACCCAGCTCCGGAAGATAGTAATGATGAAGAGACATTGATAGATAATACAAATCATCACATACAGTTTAATAATTATCAACAAATGGATATAAGTTGTTCGGAGAGGCTTAGCCCCAGTTCAACAATTGATCGTCCATCTGATGAAAAAGATTCTTATCAAGAGAATAGAGAAGCTCGTCGACTTGCTCGTAAAATGCAGAAAAAAGCTGAGAAAAAAGCTTTAAAGAAGGCTGCTAAACGAGAAGCAAAACGGTTAGCAAAAGAGAAACGAGCTGAAAGACGTGCTCGACGAGAAGCTAAACGTGAATTAAAACGTCTTCATAAACTGGAAAAATCTCGTTTAACGGAACAAGAAAATTTAAATTTTGATGTTCAAGAATCGAATACGAGAAATCCTGACGTTAACCTAGAGAGCTCTAGTAATCATGCATGGGATGACAATCACTGGTCTCCTGCTTCTCATTCTGAGCCTGTCCAAACTAATGAAGATTCTACCGACTCCAGTTCCAACAGACCCATCCTGCCTACCTTGGACGATAGATGTGCCAGCCCGCTTCGTAAGTTTTATTCAATCCTTTTGTTTTAAACTTGCAAGTTTACAGTTGAACTACTTCCCCATACATTCATTTTCAGCTTAATGGTTTGTTTGTTTGAAAGCTTATTTGATAAACACTTTTGATGTTAGATGTAAATTCGTCTACATTATACTAGCTTTTCATTAACCGTATGAATTCTAATTGCAATAGTTAACTTGAGACTACTATGCTTGATGATGTATATAGATATTGTTTGCCAAATTAAAATTACGTTGACATTGTAAACTACAAGTAAACTCTTTTTCGTAGGTTAGATACTTAATGACAAAACGTTTGGTCTTAGTTAAGACTATCACCTATACAATCTATTGATTACATTCATGGAAAACCTTAGGTTCATAGAATCTTTCAGTTCATCCATCAAAATTGTAGTCCTTTTTTATGAAAGTCGTATACAATTCAAAGTAATTACTCCTGTTACCCCTCGTGAAGTATAGACCGCCGACCAGAACCTTCCAACCAACACTATTGTTGGGATCTGCGTTCCAGTTGTTCCCAAGTTCTATTTATTCTCGCGATGCCTGTCTTCAGTTCCCGACACGATGTGTTCTTTAATTTACCCTTTTGCCTTGAGGATCCCAAGTTACGGCTTGCCTCATGATGCAGTTGACGATTTCCGTAATGTGTATCCCATCCTCCTCCAGAGTTTTTTCCTAATTTCCTCTTCATCTGAAAATTAATTCATCACAAGATGTTCTTTATTTCCCAGTATATTATAAGAACGGATAAAAGGAAGTAACATCAACACAAGACAATGCAATTTTACATTCGTACAAATCATCATATTTCACAGAATGAGAAAAAATAACCTCAAAGGATCGTGAGTAATAAAGTATACACTATTGACGAAATATAACAAAAAATCTAATTAAAAGAAATATTCAATAAATATTGGGTAGTATTGTATGCTTTTATAAGCAAAGGTGGATAGTGGCTAGCAGTGGAATCCAGGACGCGCGTTTCGTCCTATTTGGGACTCGTCAGATGGATATACCTGCACCCAGAGTTGATGTTCGCCCTGGGACAATATCGAGGCATACGCACAGTATGCACATATGCCGATAACAGACTGATCAATTGCAGTCTTAAATCTCAATGGGAAGATACAACGAAAACAATACCAAGTGAAGTATATTATGTTGTTTAAAATCTTGAAAATGATTAAAAAAATGTAGATATATCCACTCTTTCACTGTAACCAATTTTATTCCTAGTTCATAGGTGACAATCGTTTATTTTTTTAAACAGTTTTGTCCAAGTATTTTTATCTATTCATTTAATATACTTGAGGCACCCCCCTTACTTAGCTGACATTATTATTTATTATTATCAAGTCAATAAAATAGTTTCTGCAATGTTCACCAATAATGGATCTGTATAGATGTTATAGGATTTTTAATATGATATATGGGGACATTGTTGTATCATTTAGATTGTTCTTTTAACTCGTATTTTCAATGGTCAGTTTTTTTCACTATTATTACCTTTACTATTCTGGGATTTGGTCTGACAATTTCATCTTTGTGTGTTAATAGTATATGACAACTTGAACCGATGTACATGTGTGTACCACACTGTATGTTGTGATTAACTGACTGTTGCGTCTGTTAATTGTTGTGTCCAAGAAACTGTCTCACTGGTTTGCACTTAGTAGTGAAAACTTCAAATCAGACGACGCACAGAGAAAATACAAAAATTACAGTTTTAGATTTATGGAAATAAATCAAAGTGATATATAAGTATAGTACTTTTTGAATGATTTCCATACAATCAAATAAATTGAGCCGAGTAGTACTTAACATCAATTACTCAATAACTTATTGTTTAAATACATTTACAAAATCATACAACTAAGCATCTATAAATAAACAGGATATAATTAAATTATTCTTTAAAATATGGCTACATGTCATCGACGATCAATTTCAAATCCTAGTCAGCACTCTTAATCAATTAATTCATTGCTCTCTACATCAAATATAACTCATAGTCTATCACAACGTTACAGATTCATTTACTTTCGATTTTAGAGCTCTTGTGTACATACCTTTTCATTTTTATATATTTGCACTATATTCTCAATGTTTAATCTTTCATCAATTTTATTGCTGCAATTATTTATGTTTATTCATCTTGCATAACTATTATCGTATGACAATTTGAGCCTATTCATATTATTGTGTTTATCTGACCTAGTCTCACAATTTCTATACTTTTTCTAATTGCTAAAATAATTATCTTCATTTTTTTTGAATTCATTATAGTTTCAAAGTCATTTGTTTTCTTCTCAATATGTATATATCTCCATGATAAATGAATGCCTACTTGTAATGCGATTACTATTCCATGTATGTCAGTCAGTCAGTAACAACGTAGAACTGCGTACATACGTACGTACATATATCAGTTCGAGTTGCCATATCACATTAGCACAGAGATACAAATGTTGATTCAAATCCCATAGTGGTAAAGGTAGTAAAAGTATAATAAAAGTAATCGCAAAGATTAGGATTTGAAGATATTATTCAAGGAGTATAATCTAGTGAAATAAATTTGGGAAGAGAAAAAATAAAGGGATATGAAGAATTCAGGAGATTAGAATTTGAGAGAACAGAGAGAGTGAATGTACCTGCACCATTGCAAACGATTTTGAGCCATATCATTCAAGGTGTCTAACCATCGGTTGCTATCATCTCGCGGATCCCAACCAGGTAGTCTACACCTACCAACATGGCTCAATTCACTTGTCAGTGATTTGATGGACTTGTGCCATGTTTTGGTCTGGCCGCCCTTAGCTTTCTTCCAACTTACTTCTACATCATAAAACATCGCATGTTGAGGCAGTCGGTGATTGGGCATACGTGACACGTGTCCCAGCCATCTCAACTGATAAAGTTTCACATAAGCCTTACATGAGAAGAGTACGGTTTGTTAGGTAGTTGAAGGTTCTTAGTCGACAGGATACTCTCTACTTACGTTTTGTGCCATTTAACACTTATTTATGAGTTCTATCTGTAATCTTAAACAACTGATAAGGACAATAGAACTCGGTTTTTGTGTTGAGTGGCAAATAACAGGAAATCTACATGTCAATCAGGGTTTTTTGTCAACCATTTTTTATGGTCTAACAGTTCAACATGGTACACACAATGTTGAGTAACTAGTGGCCACGTTTCAACCGGACTAATAGGATTTAGTCAGGAGCATTAAAGAATTAGGTAAACATGAAACTGATTAATCAGTCAATTTTATAGCCTTGAAAAAACTTTGACTAAACTATATTTTTCTCTGTTTCTTGTAATCTTGGTTTGTATGAATTATTTAATTAATTATGCTTAAAGCCAAACAAGTCGATTCTTTGTGTTTTCGGTCAATATCATTATTCAAGTATTTGTTTTTAACCACTTCTACATAAGGCGTCTTAGTTTATCATTTTGTTGCTCTTAGCTACTCCTGTTACGTACAATTCTGTGGTTGATAGTCAAGTTCTTTAACCACTAAACCAGTACTCGAAGACCTAAATGCAGCCCATTAACCAGGTATAGGTTTGTGTATTTGGTTTTACGGCAAATTATGTGTGAAAAGGTAATGGTTCTACTCTACTTTCCAGCCTCAAGGGTTCAGCAACTCTTCTTGTTCTACCATCGTTGTTTCAGAAGGTTTGCTCACATTTGATTGCAACATAATGTTAATTATGCCAAGATTCAGCAATGTGTATCTGGATGCTAGGACAATAATCCAGTTACAGTTGGGATTTCGAAGCACTGACCTCAGTAACTATCATATCTAACGAGTATCGTCCAAGCTAATTCTACATCGTGCATCATTTGCTTACTGTGGGACTAAGTTTAAAAAGTAGAAGAGTGGTCAATTCAGGATATGGCCTCATGATTTGAAACATAGTTGTTTAGGCCTGGCATGTATAGATCCAGCCCGTTGTCTCAAAAGTGGTTCAGTTCAGTTGCGTGAGTCGTTATCAGAATAGAAGACATTAGTTTTTGTGCACTAATTTTCTATGACGCTCTTCACAAAAGGTAGATGGGCTTTCTTAAACGCAACAAGGCTGTACATTTAACTGAATTATACCTTTCATTGCATGTAATTTCTACCCTTTTATGTATTGATTGTACTGTCCTCTCCTTTATTTCTTCGCAGTATTAACGCTTATATGGCACACTTTTTGGCCCCCTATTTCTTAAAAGTTTATGCGTATGAGGAAATGAAAATAAATAGCTTCATTCTTCCACCAACCACACAGAGTTTCAACTTTTATATGCAAAATCACCTTGCCTTTTGCCTATCAACTTTGGTTTTTTCATATTGCGATTGTGGAAGGTCTTATGTGATAAAATATCTAAGACTAAATGAAGATATTCCAAGGAGCCCATTAAGTATGGAACGTTAGTACTTCAGTGACAATATATATATATATATATATATATATATATATATATATATATATATATATATACGAAATACAAATGAAATGGAACTAGCTCAACTTAATGGGCCTGTGATCCTAGTTTTAAGGTTTTGAAGATCAGTCTCCAGACTACTGACATTTGTAATCAGTAGTATAGCTATTAAACGAGATATATATGTCTAAATTATTAAGATATTTTAGTCACTACGACTGTGTAACCCATCACTGATTGGGATTCTCAAACTACTTATTTCATAACTCAGTTGTAAAGCTTTGAATTTTACCGTTTCTGGTGCTGAAGACTGAAATTGATCAGTCTCTTGGCATTTATGTATCCTGAGCGTGTTGCATCGATATTGCAATCAGTCGCAAGCATTTATAAGCAGAACTTATTAGTAGCCAGTGGGGGAATCTATAATGCGCCTTTCGTCCTGTATGGCAATCTTTAATTGAATGTACATACCACATCCCAGCCACTGGCTTGAGCAACGGTGATGAATTCAGTTATAAGAGCTTATCTATCTGGACTCTAGTTGGATGTATAGCGCATTTGAATATGAAGTGAAAGCCAATGGATTTGACTCTCAAAGTGAACATCAGAACTAGAATTTGGCAGGTACTCCGGCCGATGAATTGGAAGTGAGACAAAATGCATGTAATTTGTTTAGAGCCACAGTCGAAGTGTGATGACTAGTGATTTCACTTGGTTGTCCAATCCAAAGTAAGCGAGACAGCATTCGGACCTGTGAATTTTTAACTTAGTATCGTACACCTTAACCATAGAGAGCCACTGCTCCATAGATCATAAAACTAGAATAAATCGAGTGTAGAATGGATTTTTTAAAAAGTTTTTCAACCGATATTACCTGAATCAAAAAATGGAAGGATTTGAATGTGACCAACTTGGTCTCGTGTGCTGTTACGGGTATGAGGATTGGTTAGAGACCCTGAATGACATGGCTCAAAATCGTTTGCAATTGCGCAGGTGCACACACTCTTTGTGTTCTCCCAAATTTTAATCTCCTGATTCCCCCTTGTCTCTTTTTTTCTCTTCTCAAATTTATTTCAGTGGATTATATTCCTTGAATAACATCTTTAAACCCTAATCATTCCGATTACTGCTTATACTTTTACTACCTCTACCACTATGGGATTTGAATCGACAACTGCATCTCTGTGCTATTATGGTATGGCAACTTGAACTGATATATGTACGTACGAAGTTCTACGTTGTTACTGACTGCCAATCAAAAAATGGTTTATATTGATTACTTTCCTATAGCATCTGGTTAACCGTTTTATGCTCATTACTTTGTAATATTGTTTTGAAAAACTTTTTCTATTCATTCATTTCTATAGATTAATCATATATCTTTTTTATTGTTCCTAAGAATAAATTCTACATATATTATTGCCCTTAAAAAATCTTATTCATTCTAAACAGTCAGTTTATAAGAACTCAATCATCTATTGTATTTCTAATCAAAGAGTTCAGTATCATAATTGTATGTTTCATTTGTATTATTTCATTCTATTTGTGATATTATATTACAATGTACTTTATTAGTAATTATGATGATGGATACTTTAAAATTTATATACAAAGTATTATTTAATACAATTAAGTAATGTGTTATACAATTTTGTTCATTTCTAGAATTTATGCATCAACCTGATGATGATAGTATTTTTTCAACTCATCAAAATGATAACTCTTCTTCTAATGGAGAATTTTTAACTAAAGAAATAAATTTCTCAAACACTACACCATTAGAATATGATAAACATCAATATTCTACTGGAATTAAACGTACAGGAATATTATTTCATTCGAATGGAAGTGATAATGAAGGTTCTCAACTATTAAATGGTGAATCAATTAAATTGGATAATAGTGAAATTCCTCCAAAGAAAAAAGCTAAAACAGAATTAATTAAGCATGATGATGATGATGATGATGATGACGTTGACGACGAAGACACAATATGTCATCCTGAAATGAAAATTATGTCATCGTCAAAATCAAACAGTCATCACTCTCAAACGAACAATGAAAAAGATGTCAAACAATCAGCAACAGTAATTGAAGCTACTGATTCATTAGTAGCTGAGGCGTTTGATAATTCAAAACCAACTATTCCTGAACCTTTGCCGGAAGCTGTCACTAAACATGGCGTCATCACTACTAATACTAGTAATAATAATAAAAAACGAAACAAGTCTGAACAACAACGTTCTCGTTTACGTAAAAAGAGACCTAGGGCTATATTACTTGATTCAGATGAAGATGAAATGAATTCTGAAAAGAAAGTAATTAACCTACATGATTCCTCACCATCATCATTATCATCTCCATCACCTTTATCATTGTCGAATGATTCTGACATAGAGAATTCAAAGAGCAAAGATCAATTATCTTCACAGTTAAAAGAGAAAAGTCGAAATTCTTCACCAAAACCGTCAGCAATAAACAAATCCAATCGAGTTAGAAAATCGAGAAATCAAAAATCTAATCAAAAAACTAATAATAATAATTTGAAAGTGAAAAGCAAACAATCAGAAGTCAAATCAACTACCGCATCAAATACAAGTGTACGGGATGAAAAAAGGTAAGAGAAATAAAGGTTTTGATAGTATTTTCTTTCATGCGCTGATACTTAATTCCTTTTAAATGTAGCTGGTTTTCTCACTATTCATAACCTTGATATACTACTTTACTGTCAAGTATACACCACTTGGACATATTCTATTCAATTTGATTCTACTAATATTAGATCAAGAATCAAGAGCAAATAATAAATACTTGAATGACTTCGGTTCACGTAAGAATCTTCTAGAATCTTGATTCCTCCGTTAGCGTTTATCGGAAATGATTGAATCAATGTATTCCAGTTTAAATATCTGACCAGAATACGAAATGGTCAGGATTGATTAATAATATAATTAAATCACTCACCAGGCATTTTAGAATAAATCAATGATACTACTCAGATTCCAAAATTGAAGTTGATAGAATGGGCTGCGATCCTGTGAGGCTGAAATTCGAATGTCTTAAACACTAAGCAACTTTGCTCCACAAGACACCGCTGATTATCTTGATATTCTTCCAAGCGACTATTTTAGATTCAACTTAGTCGTCCTGTATAATCTCGGAGTAATTGTTCGACTCCTGATCTAATTTATATTTATTCTCCAAACTCTATGGTTATCAACGTTTTAGTGACATTTAATTTCACTATGATGGATTATCACAGTTGTAGCTTTTTTGATGATAAAACTAACGTACTTAATTGTCAATTAACTTTATATTTGTCTACTTGTTTATTTAGTTCCATAAAACTTATCTAAATCAAACGCAAATCCCTTTCTGAAATACTTATTGGTTCTTATTTTAGATAATCTAAATGAATGATGATTTGTAAATATTTACAGCGAGAGAGAATAAGTTCAGTCAGTCGTATCCTATGTGTATCTTACTTGCTTATATTCAATAATTGGCTGTTGTTTTCTTAGCACAAGTCATATTCTTTCTTAGCTTACTAGTTATTAAGAGCTATTGAATTTTAAAAGTAGATTAACCATTTCAATATTCAATGTTAAGATGAATTTATAGAGCATGTTACCAGTTCGTAAAGATCTACAGACTTTGAAACAATGACGGAAATGAAGTAGACAACTTTAAAAGAAATCAACTTGTATATGTATATGATGTAAGACTGAATGATATGTTCATATTTGTTGTTGTTACAAACACCTCATTAGACTAAGATTTATAAAATAAGCAGAATTAGTAGATATTTCATCGAATAATCTACAATCTGCGCTACGTTCAGACACTTCAGGCTGATGAGTAAATAGTGTAATTCCGTTTGATACTCAAACTGATTGTTGAGATCATCAAGGTGAATTGTTCAATACGAGTATTTTATTATTATTGGTTCGAAATTCATTCATCCATTAGAATAAAAAGAGTTATACCACCATAATAGCTGATGTCAGTTCATAATGAAAACCCTAAATCTAGTTCTTAATCCTCAACTGTAAATCATAATTTATGTACTTGGCTTCGATAGTCGTACTTTAAGTGTAGTGAAACCGCTAGTCGGTTAGTCAGCTACAACGTAAGATCAGACACATATATGCATCGGTTCAAGTTGCCATATTTCACTCATTATCACAACAAGATGAACACCGGATTCATAGAAGTAGTTAATTCAATGATAGAGTATCTTCTACTCTTAATGGCGACGTTTCGTAGCCGTAAAGTAGAACAGAACGAACTGCCGCGCAGTATACTCGTCCCTAATAATGCGACCCTTCTTTTACTCCAATTATAATGGATGAAATGAGCTTCAAACTTATAACTTACTAGCTGAATGTCAAACGTATTAACTACTGAGCCATTATTGAATTATTATTGTTACGTAATACTATTACATTACATAATATTATTATTGATACGAAAAAGGGCTCAAAATTGAATCCAGTTATAGATTAACTGGGTCATTTGTATTTTTTCAAAATTCTATATTTTATTTTGTCCGTGATCCGTCATCTTAAAACTTCTTTTCTGTAATTTTTAGAATCTCCAACGATTCAAGTGGTAAGTTTTTATCATATATATATTATATTTCCGTTTGTTAATATGAAAAACGTGACCAAAGATATCACGGTATACACGACTAGATCAGCATGACAATGGTCAGTTAACTGTTAATAAATCTCAATTCTACAGGATACCATTAACGACCCAAATCGCTCAGTGGTAATGTCTCTGTCTATGTAGCTGAGTGATATAGGCTCAAAACCTCCGGGAACTACCATCTTCAAGATTACAAGTACACCTTGCTGACGAGTGCCAAATAAAACGAATTCTAGGTCCAGGCTTTCCTGTTGACTACTTTCAACTGCCCCCAAATGCCATGGTACGGCCGAGAGTAGGGAGAGTCCGCTCTCCCTCTCGAAATGCTGTCACATGGCCACGTGTATATAGCCTCTGCCAGGGAATTCCTACTCACTGCCTTCTCGTGGCGGGGTTGTTGTTTACGAAATTGAGAGGACGAAAAGAGAATGTCCGGCGCTTTAATTAAGTTGCTGGATATGGATGTTCCACCTAAGGAAGTTTGAAAACTTTGATTCCAAACCAATGGTGCACATGGGCCCCAGTATCCTGAAGGAACAAATGGCGAATGAACCAATTGTTGGTCACCCGTTTCCATGGGACTGCTTCTCCTTACGTTTCCCCACTGACTTGTGGATCAGACCTTCATGTCGAAGGGTCGGGGAGTGACCCCCCTAATAAAACCACCTGCTTCGGTTTGGGCACCCAGGCAGTATCAGATACCCTACACATATCAAATGAAATTTGTGTGCCACACATGTATTTGGTGCCTCCTTGTACCAATATCTATGTGTTCAAAGTCCATTAAACTTGTGGTCACCTTGTAAATTGATCGATAGAGTTAGATTAACAACACTGACGTACTCGATAAATGTGACGCTCGTCATTATTTAGTTATTAATCAGTTGTTTGTGCATCTATATACATCTCTCTGGTTTTTGCGCGTTTTTAGTTCTTACTTTACTTTTCTTGACAACTGGATCTGTTTTAGATTACTGATAATTCTAGCTAAGACCAGTTCGTGATTTAGACTATGAAAATCCTACAATCTCTATAAATCTATCATTACTGATAATAATTATTCCCTAACTAATAGTGACTAGCTTAAAGATGCAACTCCTAAAGTTTCAATCCAAAGCCTTGACCAGTGGGGTTCAACTGTTTCGAGTGTAAAACAGTTATCCACCGCAAGCAATCGATGAGGGTTGGACAATATTGTGAATTATTTAAAGTGAAACATTTTACATTGTTGGATATCGGATCATTGGTTTAGGGGTTAAACGTTTGGGCGTAAGACTGAATGCTCTGGGTTCATTTGTCGGTTTCAGAGCCTTGGATGCCCGTTGCTTAGGTGTCGGATACTAGGACCAAGTAACCATCCAGTGCTTCCAATTTATCAGTAATGTTCTAGCTAAAATCAGTTCGTGACTTGAACTATGAAAATTATAAGTTAGCCGATCAAATTCCTTGGTTTACCTTCATAGTTAAACTTTGAAGGTCTATAATTACAAACAGCTACGTGATTCTATTTACTGTTTTGCGAATCATATCTGTTTTGTATATGAGATCTAGTTGTGATGTTATTAGAACTCAAGCGATGTCGATCAAATTGTTTTTTTTTACATGTAATAATATCATATGAGTATTTAGATCACTAACAAATTTATTACCTGGGATTTACTTAACTAATTCCGTGGATTTATACATCATCAGGTCTGCTACCGAACGTGATGATTTATCAGTTACAAGCTGTTGTTTTTACCTAAGAATCACGTCTGTAACAGTTTATCTACATGTTAATATCCTGCTAAATTATTTATCAGTCAGTAATCATCTCACGTAAGACCTGACATAAGATTGAATCAGTGGATGATGTTGCCATACTTCATGTTACCATAATAGGAGAAAATAAACTAGATACAAAGCAGATTATGGAAAATAATATCTAAAATAATAGAAGTTTAAAGATGACTTCAGTGAATGAGAAATTAGGAATAACCTATTTAATTCAAGACCTATCTCGAGTTATTTACACGCACAATATATTAGAGTGCTAGATCGTGATAATATTTATGTTGCTTGAATGTCAGGCTTGATATGAAATAAAGGAAGAACAAATTGTTTGGAAACTCGATAACTGATGCAGTTTGCATTTACGATTAATTGATCACTGAGTAGTGACCAATGTGATGTTTGTCTAATCCCTTTGTGTGGATGGAACTCTATTGATGAAGGTACAATGTGGTCATTCTTTATTTCTTTATTTATTTGAACACATAAATATCGGTACAAGGGGGTACCAAATGCATATGCGTCACACAAATCAAATGAGATTTATGTGAGTGCTGTGATACTACCCGGGTGCCCAAACCAAAGCAGGTGGTTTCCTTAGGAGGCCACACCCCGGTTATATACGCGTGGCCATGTGAGAGCATTTCGAGAGGCCGTACCAGATCATTTGGGGACAATGTGGTAACTAGTTTAAGTGATTCGACCTATGGTTGGTTGGACGTAGTCAACAGGGGACAGTACTTGACTTAGGTTTCGTGTTAATGGGAACTAATCAGTAAAGTGTACCTCTAATTATCAAGGGACTGACTCAACCCTCTTCACTCAGCTTCACAGTTTGAGATGTCACCATTGAGCTATTCTGGCTTCTCTGCTGACGACAACCTCTAAGCACCTATAACCTACAGTTACATTTAGTCGTCTTCAGATTTCTGTGTTGCAATGTTCATAATTTTTTCATCTACCAATTTAGTTCGTTTTTGGATTCACCGTACATAATTTTCACAATCATCAATGTTACAATTTCAATCTCTTTACGCTTTTCACCTTGTTATTTCCCTCTTCGCTGTGACACTCGGAGCTGATTTACACGAGATTGTTTATGACTAGCTACTGCTTCTTTAGTTGTTTCTTATCGTATTGGTCTCGGGTCTTCCGTTGATTTCTGCTATCTTTTAATTGTTACCGTGTTCTTTGAGATATGTTATTAATTATTGATCGAAGTTAGGCATGTAAACCATTGGATACCAGGTTAACGATCTAGAGGTTAAGCATTTGTGTACAAGATTGAAGGTTTTGGGTCCGACTCCTTGTGATTTGATCGTGTGTACGCACTACGGAATAGACCGATACTAAGGCAAAATAGCCGTTTACTGCTTCGTTATTCTTAATGGATGTCTAAAATTATCAAGACAAATCCCAGAGTAACGGAAAATATAGCAACATTATCAAAAGTAGTCATTGGGTTGTTATTTCAATAATCTCCACAAACCCTTCATACTGATATCAGTTAGTTATTTAACTTATAACTGCTAATAAAAATACAGGTATTCGTCAGGCTGCAGCATCGAATGATCCTGTCACTCAGTTGAATCAATGCTGTCGTGACCTGAAAACCAGTCTAATCAAAGGCCACGAGAATTTCGCCGAAGCGGTGCAACTTTTGAATAAAGTTCGTTCTATCCCTGTTCGACTTCCTCAGTTAGCTGAAGCTTGGGATCTTATGGATTGTATTAAAAAGGTGAGTGAAGTTTGTATTTTAACTTTGTTTGTATATAATGTGATTATTGTAAAATGTTACTATCAACGCTTATTTTTATTTTGTATTATTTTCATCGTATATCTGTAGAATAAAATGGTTGATTATTTTTTAATAACATCTAATGATATCCCATAGTGATGTTCACAACCGTTCACTTCCATCTGTTTAAAATCTCTTCTCAGGATGTACCTGAATACATATCATTCCCCGTTAGATTTCAACCTCATTGCCACTGATCCAAGTTTTCTTATTTACGTGTGTTGCCTCTCGTTCATGATAGGCATCAACTAGAGATATCCAATCAACTCTATCCTGGCCCCTCCTTTGTATTTATTTGGTGCTATTCATGCTTTTAATGTCTGTTCCCAGTTTCCAACTCCATATGTTCTTTGATCTGCCTCTTTTCCGCCTTAAAGATTCGTGATCAGAGCTTGTCTGGTGATGGAGTTTGATTTCCTTGCAGCATCTTAGCCTGAAGCTCTTCTAGAGTTTCTGCCGTTCCCAAGCCCGGATAAAGGAAGACGATTAGGCATGAGCGTTAGCAACCCCCATCTTACAACAGAGAGAGCTTTGCTAAAAAGCACTGACCAGAAATAATCAGCCTAATTACTATCAAATAATAAGAAACGTAACTTTGAAACTACAGATGGTTACCTTCCTGGTTTCATATTCGAATTACGCGACCAGATCATTATGTAGTAAGGATTAAGGATGCCCGCACTTTTTGTAGGTATTAGTATATTCGCCAGTAGTGTTTCTTCAGTTGAGTACTGTTCATTAACTATAAAAATTCTATCAAGATTAAATCTCTAATGAAGTACGTACTAAACGCTACATCAATATTTCATTTTTAAGAAATGCCACATAATCTCACTTTTAGTTTGTTTTTTGAAGTATAATTTAGTTTGATTTTAATCTCTCAGTCATATGCAACCTAGAGTCTAGAACATATGTACATCAATTCAATGTGTCTTACCACGTTATCACAGTGAGATAAAAAGGTCAAAGCAGATTCATGAGTAGAAATATTAACACAGTGTCATTAGTAGTAGTAGAAAAGAAAAGATTATAAGGATATTTCGTGATCCGGAAACTAAGAGGATAAAACCGTTAATAATAATTGCGGACGATTCTGAACTTGTTGTGTCTTTATGACTCGCTAGTTATTACGCAATTTATTCGCCAATCAAAATACAATTTATTCACATTCGTACTGTACTAAATCAATGACATTCGACCGGTCTGACCAGCCTAGCGTCCTAATGGTCGTTTGCTCGCCTAGCCCGTCAAGCTGAGTCTAGAATGTCAATAACAGCCTCCACTATGCGAATCATTTATTTCACATCGCAACTCATCATAAAATAGAAAATAACATTCACACACAATAAATCCAACAAGTGGCTGTGAACGTGGGAGACAGTAATTAATAAACTAAGTATAACTTAGGAACAGTAAATCGTTAAATAAAAATCTATAGGTCAAAATGAAGCTTATAATAAGGGGAATATAGATATATACAATCTAATTACTGAATAGTTATACCATAAGAATATATAGATAATATAATTCCATTAATTGATCTCAGAAGTTACTCGTACTTTAATCTTCACTAGGATATAACAGAAATGTGTCACCTAAAATCTCCCATCGCTGGTCACCGTTATCACACACAAACCCCAACCAGGTCGTATGCATTTATTTACATGATTTAGTTCAGTTAGTACCTTCATGGGTTGGATCCATGTTTTGGTTTAACTGCCTCTTAACTTTCTTCCAGTCTATTCCTACTCCAAACAACATCACCCATCGAGTTAGTTGGTAGCTGGGCATATGAAACAAATGTTCCAACCACCTCAACGGACCAAAATGTCGATAGATGCAAGTGTTCATTGTGAATATCTATAAACGAAGCTTTCTTCAATCAATTAATATTGCCCTTGGAAGATTAAATAACTTCCCATTATTATTATTTCTCAAATTCTTTACCCTTACTTCAATATATTGTAAAGTGTTTATAGCTAAATCTCCCTTTATAAATAAATTGAATTAGAATATGTTAATGTTAGAGTTCACTAGAGTTAATTACAATTCTGTAAGTTTCAACTCACATCATTGCTGCATATTACTTTTGTTCTACTCCTCTTAATAAACATATTTGATTCAGTGATATTCTATAATCAATCATTCATCAAATTTCTTCTATTCTCAATATTTATTATTAATATTTCTTTTAGTGTCGACGGTATAAACTGTCAAATGAAGTTCGTGAAGCTGCTCAAACAACATTTCAATTTTTTCAATCTTTACAGGCGAATACTACCAAAGAAGAGGTATATAAATAAAGTATATTCTTTTTCTTACAAAAATATCACTATGGTAATTCTTGTTAAAAAAAAATGACTTTATATATTAAAAGGTTCGCATTGACTGATCAGTTCTATTTGAGAACAACTGAAGATTTTCCCTAATGCAATCCAATGAATAAGAAGTCAAATAAACTGGACATCTAACACATAATAACACTACCGATGGTTAGAGACTTTGAATGACATGGTTCAAAATCGTATGCAATGGCGCAGATGCATCCACTCTTTGTGTTCTCCCAAATTCTAATCTTCTTAATTCTTCATGTTCCTTGTTTTCCCTTTCCGAATTTATTTCACTGGATTATATTCCTTGAATAACATCTTTAAACCCTAATCATTCCGATTACTGCTTATACTTTTACTATCTCTACTACTGTGGGATTTAAATGGACAACTGCATCTCTGTGCTAATATGGTATAGCAACTCGAACTGATATACGTACGTATGTACGCATGTACGAAGTTCTATGTTGTTACTGACTGACATAACAACACTGAAGGGAATAATAGATACTATTAATATAAAACAGAGGAGATAGCACTTTCGATATATAATTTATATTCCAAACAAAAAGTGGAAAGTTGTAAAGGTACAATTCTGTTTACATAGTAACATAAAATGACCTTATGGCAAAGCAGTCTGAAAATAATAATATTATGATTATGGAAATAATCAAACAAATTAGATTATCTGGGCTCTCATATTGGCACAACAATTTATTTTGATAATGTAAACTATATTTTCCAATCGATCTCTTGATATGATGATAATAATAATAAGGCATGACTATTTGACGTTTGCACTAGTTTCTTAGAACAGTAATTTGAATCTAATAAGAATTTAAGCCTGTTCTATAATCAGTTTATTATATATACGTACATACCTAATGAAATACAAGAAAGATTCTTACGCAATTTCATCTTATAAGTTGTTATGCAATCTTAAAATTATTCATATTTTCACAGAAACTATCTTCAAGTGTGTAGTATAGTGATGGACTTAAAATATCTGTGACTACTTTTTACACAATCAATTAAGAAATAGCGATTGTTAATGAATAGTTAATGAAAAGAGAATAAAAAAATTGCAAGTTGTAGACTGATTTTAATGAATCTTTTAAAATCTACAGGGTAATCTGTCTGTAAATGGAAACAAGTCAACGATATATAAACTTATTGTAGATTTAGTCTGTCTATCTTATCGGACCATTAAAAGGATATATATAGATTTTTCAGAGTCATCCACATTGTTCCTGCTAAGGGTTGACGGTTTTTCTTCATGAAATGACATTATCTCTAACATATGGATGAATAAATTTAGCGGTGAAAAAGAAAGTCAGGAGACGTTATTATATATTTAGTCCATCCATAAAATATATTACCACCGCATAAGATTTATCTCAAAATTCAGAGTTTAAAATCAATTTTTAGTGGTAGTGTCAATTTAAACAACTAGAATTGAACATTGATTACATTTATCATTAGTTTTACTGTTTGATGGGAAATAATTTTGAACAACCATTTGAAACAGTTTAAGTGATGCGTCAAATTATTTCAACTATTTCCTATACTTGTTATTTGAAATTCGGGCAAAAGTTCTTGATTACTACTGACTCGTCACTCTGCAATACTTTTATCAAATAAATCGGAAAACTTTCCATATTGTGATTTAGAACAACATATATATAAAGCTTTACTCTAATATACAGTAAAATTTATATATGCCTATACGAAATTATTAAACCAATCAAGACAGTTTATGAATCAATGATAACAATGGAATAGATTACATAAATAAGTGAAAAGTACAAATTTGTAGTATGATGACAAGTTTACTAGTTGTGATTACTTACGCCTGTTACTCGTTGTGAAGAAGCATAGGCTATTCACCAGCATTATCCATCCAGCTCTGTCCTCAGCGATCCTTTCCAGCTCTTTCCACTTTTTATTCATCTTTTTCATATCTGCTTCTATTTCTCGACATAATGTGTTCTTTGGCCTTCCACTTTTCCGATTCCCTTCAGGATTCCAAGTTAGGGCTTGCCTCGTGATGCAGTTTGATTATTTCAGTAATATATGTCCTATCCATTTCCATCATCTCTTCCTAATTTCTTCTTCATCTGGAAGCTGGTTTGTTCTCTCCCAGAGAAGGCTGTTGCTGATGGTATCCAGTCAATGGATGTTGAGTATCTATTTATAAATACTTGATTATGGTTGTAGTAGTTCTCCAATTTTCAGCTGCGTACAGTAGAACTGTGTTGACGTTGGTATTGAAGATTGTGACACTGATATTGATTGAAAGTTGTTTTTAGTTCCATATATTCTTCGATTGTAGAAATGCGGCCCTTGCTTTGTCAATCCTCGCCTTTGCGTCTGCATCTGAACCTCCTCTTCATTTAGAAGAACTAGTTGTGATAATAATAATAAAGGCTTGGAAGATAGGTCAATGATTAGAAAAATATAGATACTGAAATAACATTTATAAAAATTATAGGATTACGTAATAAGAAGTGTTCAGATAATCGAACCGTATATGCATATAAATATTACTGTATATTAGAGTAAAGCCTGATGAGGATCTAATATTGCTCGCTTACATACATTGTTTCAAATCAATAATTCGTTTAGCTTCTAAATAAATTAATTTACTGAGGATAATAAGAAACTAAATATGCGGATTATAAATGTTCAAATTAGTATATCATGTATGTTATAAACATTTGGAGATGTAGTTACGTAACATGATCAGATAAGGTATAATCAGAGATAGAGTAGTAGGGGGCATGGAAACAAAAATACGATAGAGGTAAAATATAAATGAAGAAAGTAATGACATTGAAGAACAAAGTGTTCAGATCATAGTGGAAAAATGGATTGGTTTTTTCGCATACTCAATCCTGGCTTTTCTGGATGATACATAGCAAAAGCTCTTGGCAACTGTAAGGTGATGGGAGCTATATCTATTTTTGGTCAAGTTTCTATTCACCTTGTACGATGACTTTGAATGCTTAACCTGTTTTTAATTGAATGACCTGTGTTCTCGCATGACGTCCGATTATAAAGTTTCCTATGGATCCGTTGTCTCCACTTTTCAACCAAGTTGAATAATGTTCTCAAGTCCCTACAAAAGGAGCGCTCATCGAATTACCTATATATACCTAACTCCATAAGCGTTTATCCTTTTATTACTAAAATATGGTAAACTACTAACCACTTCACCCTATAGTTGTTGCAAAGAACGTATTATCCATTATTATTATCATCCTGTAACAAACCAGTTACATAATTGTGCTCATCAGTAATTAATCCAAGACATGCTCCATTGATTCTTTTTTGAAAAAAGGATAACAAATATAATGCATTTGCTGATTTAAATGAAAGTTAAATGTGCATTTATTTTCAAGTCTTGTTATGGCATCATCATTTTTACTATCCATTGATCCGTTTAATTTTCTTTTAGCGTTAATTATTTGTTATCAGTTAACTTATCTCAACTATTGTCATCTTAATTCCCTATTACTTCTCAATTTGGTTTTATAGTAAGTCTTTCTTTTTCAAGATTTCGAAAATAAGTTATTCATAGCGTCTTAGATTGTGGTGATCAATGACTCGGATTCTAATCTCATTGAGATTATTAACCCCAAACTGCTAATTAAAAGTTTTATTCATTATTCTAATGTTCAATTAACAGAATTAAAACATGATTTGTTTATTCTTTTTATAGCTCTCTCAAGCACAGGCACTTATTGCATCGCATCAAAATCGTATTCATTCAGTTCAAGATTCTGTAATGGAAAATACTTCAAAAACTGATTCACTGTCCATTTCCGCTGATGTTGATAATAAACAAACACTACAAAATAATACAAATTCAAATAATAGTTCCGAATCAACATCGGATAATACCACCACCACTACTACCAATACTACTACTACTATTACAATTGAACCTGAAAATTTAACAGCTGATTTAGAAGCAAAAGTCGATGATGTCCTATCACGAATACGTGCAACAGAAGAACGAATGGCTGCTGCCGCTGTTTCATCTACACGGTCTGACACACCATATAAATCTATATCTAATCATGTAACCAATTCCTCTGTAAGATCTACAGGAGGTCGAATAATTAGAGCGTCGGCCGTCGCTGCCGCTACTGCTCATATGCATGATGAAGAAGATGAAGAATCGGTCATGTCACGTGTCGAACAAGTAGCCGCTTACGAGGCAGGCGCAATAAATTATCCGAATCCAGCCAGTTTAGGATCTCCACCCCCGCCTCCGCCGCCCCCGCCATCATCATTATCTTTTGGCTCTGTTGGTCCGTCTGCCCAACTTGAAGCAAAGGCATCCCCTAGTGTTGACCATCTAGATCTTGATTCACGTATACAATTGTTTATGTCGGCAGCTAGTTCACAAAAATCTGCTAAGTCATCTAACTCAAAACCTGTAGTCACTGTAGGTAAATCAGAAATGACGCCTACAACACAATCTCATCACATTCAGCCGAATTTAACGAGTGTAACCTCATCTACATCGTCGGCCTCCACTTTGTCTTCTACAGTTACATTGTCATCGTCATCCAGTCTATTACCAGTTCTTTTAGCTAAGCGTAAAGTAATAGCGGATAAGTTAGCTGCAGTTAAAGCATCTGGTTCTCCAATCAAATCATGTCATCCAGTCACTTCACCATTACCATCACCAACATCCATTAATAATGACTTCAATATTGTAGAAAAAGTATCCTCATCAGTTACTACTAAACCCGCTAGTACTACTGCTACTACTACTCATACACCTCCATTATTGACCAAAATGTTAAATACAGCAAAAATGCCTTCGAAAGATGAAGAATTGTATGATTTATTAGGTGTGTAAATTTTTAACTGGTCTCCTTTCATTATTGTTATTATTATTATTACTATTTTTCATGCACAGTTAACAATATAATGATATTTATAATATTCTAAAGGTTTACTCTCTCTCTCTCCATCTCTGTGTCTATACACATATAGATATGTATTTATATTATCTATCCTATGAAGATTATGTTCATAAACAATATTGACTTATTAATTAGCCTCTTATCTAAATTATTTCTGTGTATAAAACAGTGTATCTAATAATGATATATAAATAAAGTTTGTATATCATCATTAGTGTATAAATACAAACTGTCGGAGATGAACATAATTGTTCACTTTAAAAATAAACAACTAAACTCTGTATCTAAATTTTACTCAAGTGTTTTTATTCACTTAGTATACTACTTATTGACTAATTTGTAATTTACAGTTTTAGGATCCTTCGTATGTATGTGTGTGTGTGTGTGTAAAAGTGTATGTGCTCGCGTACGTGCATGTTTACCATTACATGCTATTGCCAATTGTTGTTATTATCTATCAACACAATTATTATTACTACTGTTTTCTTTAATCTCCGTAGCCCCATAAGCCTCTATCTATTCACCAATGTATCATATCTGTTTTGGGGGAAATGAAGTCTCTCTTTCTGTTAGCAAACTATTTACACTCTTCTTCCTCTCGCTTGATAATGGTTTGTTGTCGTTTTTGTCTTCTGTACTGTTCTTCTCTTTGGATCTTGTGTTCTATGTATTCTTGCTTTATTTTGTTCTCTTTCCCTGTCACATACACACACATCTGCATATACATTTATATCACATATACAGATATTCAATATCCATTTTCATAAATTACAAAAGTGTTTTCTTTTTTTATGTATGTAATTTTAATAATTCCTTGTTTCTAACTACCATTTATGATTCATTGTCTTCGTGGTACTTAACTAACTAATTAACTTAGCTTTATTTCATTATAATCAGAAATCATAATAAAAAGAAAACTGAACAAAATAAACGGAAAGTTTCATCATGGTATCTAATGAGTTGTATGTACAACTAAAACGTACAATGGCGTATTGTATATTGGAGCATGTACTTTTTTTATTCTAACAGCAATTAATTACATAGTTTCTACTTGGAATACAAGCACACTATGTATATAAATCTATTTTGTAGTGTGTGTGTATGTGTACATGTGAATGGGTGGTATACCCTTTCTTTATTACAAGTTTATATGTTCATCTATACACGTGGCAACATCTTTCATTTCAACCAAATTCCATATTAAAAAATAAACACATTTCCTCGATATCAGGTAAAATCTACTGGTTAACACTATACATTCAATTAAACAGAGAATCTATACTTGAATATATATATATATATATATATAGATATACATTAATGTCTATTTCTAGTTAAGAAAAGAGTCAGTACAACAAATGTATCTGTTTTAATCCCAACATATTTTTTACTAAAGTATATTTTTGTGTATCCAATAATTCACACCGAAATAAGGATTATTAGATAAAGGGAAATTATTATAGTCGAGTGATTTTGTATATTCAGTATTGTTTTTATTATTATGATTATTATTATTAACAAATATCTAGCTTTTTGGTTCATAATAATTGGTATAGTGAACTATGTACCGTAACTGTAACTCATTAATGCTAAGATTTCAATCTCATTTCATCAACTATGATTTCAAGAAATCGGTTTTGTAGTATTATTAGCCCCGTTACATTTAGAAGGTGACTTAAAGGTAACTACACTCATCTAGTAACTAAGTGGATAACTTTGTGAAATTACAATGCAAATGTTGAAATTAATTAATCAATGGTTAATGCTCACCACTATTCACAAGTGGTGATGGAATATATCCAGTAAATAGTTATCTCATTGTTTTATGTGTAATATGAATCTCTTCTATTTATTATAGATAGTTCTTTTCTAGGTTTCTATGCATAAATGGTTCCATTCCTTTTTTTTAAAAAAAATCATAATCTAAGTAGGCAATGTATTGATATTATATGAAATTGATTTATGATAAACTCGGCTTGTTCACTAAAAGCATTTCAGATTTTAACCCCTGAATATATAGAAATTATCACATGTTTAATTGATTATCTTCTTTGTCATAAACACAATTGTGTCAAATGTTTACTCCTCATTTCAACACTTTATAACCGGTATATATGTTTACTCGCTTTCAGAATACTCCTGATATAGTTTGTTTGTATGAAACATCGCTTTTCTTTTACAATATATGAATTGTATTTCTATCATCTCATAGTTGAATTAGTATTGTTGTATTTTAAAGATTCAATTTTCAGTCATCCTACTAGCATGTGTTTATACTGAATTTTATATTTAATTAAGCATTATAAATATGAGATTGTTTATTTACACATAATCTATACATAAGTACATGCAAATCATTCATGTTGATAGTTGGTGTTGACCTCATGACTCCTTCATCCCAGCTATTTTTCGAGTATGTTTACAAAGATAGTTGAATATAAAAATTGAATCTTTATCACTATTTATTCTCAGTGTTTGTTTTTTCAATATTGGAGGTTGTGGAAAACATTGAATGTCATTGAGAACACGAACTTACATAAGTGAGACACAACCATTAGAAACCAGGAAATGCTAGACAGCCGTTCTGTCTATATCTAGGACACATTCGTGGTAGTATACATCCATGACCCCACCACTGGGAATCGAACCCAAGAATTTCGGTCTCGCGCGCAAAACGCTTAACCTCTAAACTATAGATTCAATCGGTATCTAACAGTATATTTATCTAACTTAAATCCATTCACGATGTTGCGTAACCATCTTCTATTGTCTTCATTAGGTATCTTTGTCATCCGATACAGTTGAACTCCACTGGCTTTTTATTTTGTTATTGTGATAAAAATTGATGAATATGCAATGAACAAATTGTCGAACAAAATGTATTCTCGGTGTTCACATCTAGGCTAACCGTACACTAATATAAATATGGTTCATTCGTTTAGTTAGTTAATACGCTAAAAACGCGTTTTCAACCTAAACCGTAAAACAAATTACGTTTGTATACTAAGTATTTTAATAAAATTATCATCTTATATGAAATAATCATGACACTTACAACACTAACAAGTTCAGATGTGTCACACAGGATACTGACAAATAGCTCGTTATACTGGTTCGGCCATGTAAGTGATCCAATTTGCAATGGAATGGTACCATGACATAATCATGTTTAGAATTCGACAAAAAGATAATATAGCCAAATGTATTTTCGGTAGATTATTGGGAATGATAAATATTTGTGATGTTAGAACATTTGTGCCATACCGTCTCTACTACTTAGAAATCATATTCCTTTCAGGTGTATTTTCTTGTTTTAAACAGTTTTATATTCACACTTGCTGCTAGTCACATTGAGTATGATCGTATATCTTGTGAAATAACCACTAATCTGTAGCTGATCATAAAGTTTAAATATTTCCTGTCTAGTCATCCTTATTCCGTTTTTTTAATTTACAGTCTGTGTTAGCCAACTTAGTGCGTTGGTTTTGTCGATGACCGAGAGTATGTGGCAAATGTCATAACTACTTTAGTTGCCAAAGATTTATAGTCTCATCAAAGGATTTAATATTTCTGCTGAAAATTTCAAGTGCCCTTTTCAGTAATCTCAGTGTTCATTATTTTAACTTGTCCTGTTAATAACTTTTCCGAGGAGATAGTTGATTCCAAATGTTTAAATGTTTTTACTAGTAATTTTCAGTATATCTACCTTTGGTTATTAGTTTGTTCACTGATAAGCCACCATTTTCATTAGATTTCATGCGGTAGTATGCTTGTCGATTTCCTTTAATTTGTTTGAAATTAGAATTGTCAACCATTGGATGCTGGCCCAGTGGTCTGGTGATCAAGCTTCCTCTACAACAGTTGGAAGTCGTGGATTCGATCCTGTGTTTCGGGCTCATGGATGCGCACTGTCATTGAGGATGAAACAGTTTTACAGTGTTTCCTAATTTTCATTGGTTGTTTAACTAAAACCAGTCTATGATGTTATCTACAAAACTCATTCATCTCTACAAAATCCTTATACGGTGTAGTTGACTTAATTGGCGATAGGTTGGTCCATTTAAATTTTCTTTTCATTTATCTTTGGATACTTACGAATTACGTATTCACTTTGAATTATTCTTCACTGATCATTTGTTTGCTGATTCATAAGCAACTATCATGTTAAATTACAACCTTGGGGTTTTATTACAGTTCCAAATGTAGGCAAGGAACTAGGGTTTGTTCCTTGTATTATTTGAACTAATTTTATTTCGAAAAATGGTTACTGATTTCCTGAAAATTCAATTCTCATTAAAACTCGTAAAATATTGGGAGTTCAGTTTTCTACTTCTTGCGGGATATTACAAATATAGTACTATTATAACTTAATGTAGTAGTGTCTTTTCCCAACTGTCTTCTCAAAACAATACGGTATTTTTGGATGTTTAGGAAAACATAGAATTTTAATGAAGATGCGTAAATAAAAAATTTCCACTTATGAGTTACATCGGTTTAAATCTTCGATTCTTGTATTAAGACAATTTGAAAAAGATCCACGATTTAAATGTTTAGACCTTGATCAAATAACCTAACGAATTCACTAAAGCTACCTTAGTTAACGCTGTTAAAACGAGCAATTGTCGTGGTAGATTTGATTATTATATAAGTAATAGATCTCATCCTGTCTGAAGGATTTAATAGTATAACACTCAGCATGAGACTGGGCGTTCCTATATGTTCTGTGCTGAGAATTCTATATTGTACCAAAAATATAATATTGAATAAAGCCATTAATAATAATAATAATAATAATAATGTTGTCGGGTTGTGAATTACAAATCAAAACAAAATGGTAGCCTATTTTTCAACGTTCATTCAGATAATGCTTATCTGTAGTGATAGCTATTTTCAACTTTAACTAAATTAGTAGAGTTTGCGGTAAG